AGGATAAGACTCATCAACATCGTCTTCGGAATGGGGGGTGCTGAATTTGATGTCGTCGAACTCACCTGAATCACTGAGGGATTCGTTGTCACTATATCCCATTTTCTGAATCGTTTGAATTAGATATAACAGAGAGTCTTAAATAAGAAGCACTCCCTGTGTCGTGTTACCATATTTATTTGTCAACTTAAGTTGACACCGATACTTACACTTAGTGGTGTGGTGGTTGTGGTGGTGGTGGTTGTGTTACAGTAAATATTTAAACATCCAACAACCCTCTCTGTTGATATATAAACAATGTGTAGGTCCTAGTCCCTGTAATCAATGACACATTTCATGAAAGATGAGTTGGTCCTAGATAGTACACATCACACACATACGACGCCATATATGGCACAGAATGATCCACGTTGGCGCCACGTGAACTCAACAGAACATAACGAACACAATGGTCAGCGCAAGCTCCTGTTGTCTGAGGTCGAATTTTTGACAGAAGTACATCTATCACGATTTTATCAAAATGGTGTCGACCATGGAACCACTCCACCATTGCCACAATTGCTTTGTGTCTATGCAGGTGGTTGTCCTGGTGAGCACCTAGATGACATATTAATGATGTTTCCCAACGTTTTTTTTGTAATTGTCGACCCGCGGTTTAGTGACACCCACTACAAAAAATATCAAAATAGATGGTCAAAAAAACGAGTCGCCGTATGTGCGAACCACTTTGACGATGGCACCGCGGTAGCTATTGCGGGGTGGGTTTCTGGACGAAAGGACATCGATCATTGGGTACATAAAAAATTAAACGTGTTGGACATAAAGCAAGTTGGGTATGACGACCTCTTTTTTATCTCGGACATACGGTCGAATGCATACGACGAGCGTGCTATTGCGAGGGACATGCAAGCACAGAGTCGGTGGTTTAAACAATTGAACGCTTCGGCAGGCCTGCTCAAATTCCGATTGCCGTTTTGTACTCCGGAGTGGTTTAAAAGAACTAAAACCACCCACGGTGTTTATTCTTATTTAGACGGGGTTGTCTTTTTACCAATTTACGGGCCGCCTTCTACAACAGAGTGTCGTTTGTACGTGCGTCGGGGATGCAAGGAAAAATTCTACAACCCGTATATTCACGAGTGTAGAATGGCTGAATTTGAGACACATGACCGACAAGAACATTATTCTGATGGATTTCAGAAATTTTCTTCATTTGACCAAGTGGCTGAAGCGTCTGTTATACACAAGTATCAATATCTCATGGGGAAATATGGTTATGATGCACACATTCAATTGAAATATTCACAATTGAGCGACATTCACAAAGGTGAACAAAACTACATGATATATCTCCTACATAAGCCTTCGCACTGGTAACAAATATACCTAGAATAAGAGCATCTCGTGTCCACCCGGTGTGCAAACAAAAAGGAACATGAAACACGTTAATTAATGCCACGGGTGGGATTTGAACCCACGAGGCATAGCCATTACCGCTTGAAGGTAACTCCTTGAACCCAGCTCGGACACCGTGGCTTTCACATGTGCGTGTCATTACATGGAGGGTATCTCATTATAAAAGACGTCTATAATCGTACCATGTGTGTCACCGGAATGACAGCGGTTGGTCCCGTTCTCTGGATCGCGGCACGAGACGGTCGAACACGAGACGTACAACAACTACTGTCGGGGGGTGGAGTTGACTTAGAAGTACATTCCGGGGTGTTGCACTGCACACCCCTCCACATTTCTGCAGAGAAGGGGTGTTTGATGGTTGTGCTCCATCTTCTAGACGATGGAGCCATCGTCTCGGCACGAGACAGAGATGGGTGGACCCCTCTACACTATGCGTGCTTCAATAACCACAAAACGGTCGTATTGTCTCTGTTACACCATGGTGCCGACGTGTCTGCGAAGGACACGTTCGGAGTCTCTCCGTTGATGATCACAGCACGTCTTGGGGACAATCTACTCGCGGAATTGTTGCTGTGCAAGGGTGCCGATATCAACGCGGTCGATGATAACGGTTTGACACCACTACACCATGCGGCTGTCAAGGGTATGGAAACCGTAGTCCATCTCTTTATCCGTCATGGAGCGGGTTTATACACAACCACCTCAAGTGGGTACACCGCAGAGGCTCTTGCATCTTCTCATGGCCATGTCCTATTCGCCACACTACTCAAGAGCATGACATCAAGTAAAACCAACTCAACTACTCCGCGTGTTGCAACCATACCAACACCACCACCACCACCGTCGCCATCTTTAGGGTCTCCATCTTTTAAACCCCAGTTGGTAATGATGGCGGTCAAGTCGATTGTTAGACGCATCCCGTATAGGATATAGACCCTTGATAGATCCTTCGAGGTAAATAATTTTAGGATACTTTGTCAATGCACTTGCGACAGTTGACACCCGAGCAAATCTCGATATGCTCGTTGTCATTCACACATGCCTATTTAAACAAATTACATGTTTTGTTATTATCGTAGAGGCTACTCGTGTGACATGGAGGATTGGATGTTCGGTGCGATCTCTATAGGTGCAATAGGTTTGTTTATAGTGGTAGCGATACTAATCCAGGATTGGATAGACAGGCGTGCCTATGCAGCAGCGAAACCAGTGAGGGATGCTTCCAACGCACATGAGGCAAAACAAAGGGCAGCAAGGGATGCACGAGACGCTGCCCGTCAACAGAGCGCACAAGACGCTGTAGTACGACAGACCGCACCCCCGGGTGGTGCCTCAATGCAGTATATGCCAATGCAGTATATGCCAATGGATACCCCCTATATGCAGTATGTGCAACATGCCGGGTCTCTAGTACAGCATCGATAGTCGGTTTGACATGTATAAACAAGGACCGTAAGTCCATCGGTGTTTCAGTGAAAAACAGAATGCGGGGACATCTGTCACAGATGCTCCAGCTGGAACTCTTTACTAACGAATCGACGAGTTGTAGAGTTTAATAAAGACACGATACATACACCCCACCCGGCTACGTGTCTATCTTAAGGATCTCCTTGAGCTCCGCGACGTTGCGTCGGACCCGGACGTTGTGTGCCTTGAACCACAGCACTGCATCCTTTTGCATCCTGTCCGTTCTTATCTGTCTGGCGCTCAAGACCAACCCCATCCGACCACAGGGGTTGTATTTGTTTGAACGATGTGCGATTGATCTCTTAAGTTTTCCACAAAAGGTACAGGAATCTGTCAGATGTGTCTCAAGATCGGTGATAACGGAGGGGTCGGGTGCTTTCTTGACTATCAACTTGTATGAGGCACGGATAGAAGATTTTGACATTTCTACATCCTTCTTGGAGGATACCACCATCCAATTTTGCGTGCCACTGGAAGCGTTTGGTCGGTAATCTTGAACACCAGGTCTCCGTGGTTACTTTTGTAGACACATACTCTGTCCACATTCACGGGGGGTAGGGTTAAGTTGCCAACTAGTTGAGTCAAATAAAAGTACAATGTAACACATATAAGAATGGTTTTATAAATTATATGCAACACGTGTTACCTATTTATTTGGCCAACACGTCATTACCATCAGAAGTTTATATCTCCCCCGACAGTACCGTTCCGCGTCGTAACCAAAAGAAAACAATAACTTGTACACGCTAACAAGAACATACGCAAATTCGTTGGGTTATGACCACGACCCACATGTCCGACGAGACACGGGGTGGTGACCCAACCATGCTCCCGGATGGGCGGGTTTCTGCCACGAGTTCGTACACACAGATTGCTGTCGAGAGACTGTGTGGCACCCCGTCGAGTGCAGTAGGAAAATGCGGACTTACGTTGCTGTGTACCACGTGCGGTGTCAAGCAAACAGTTCGTATGTATGGCGTGTCACGGGACCCAGTCCGGGGACGGGAAGATGATAAGAGCATGGCAAACGAATTGCAGTTCGAGACCGCATATGGTGTCTCTCACATGGTCATGCCGCCGGTGATTGTGATTGATGCCGTCTCGCTAATACGCATGTCCCAACGAGAAGCGGTTAGTCCTGGGGCGGGTCTCAGTGGGGCGATACGGCCCCTACAGGGACCTGTGTGTGATACGTGCCACATTCTCGCGGAATCTTCGAATTGCGTACCATCCGACAACGCGTCGTACGTCCTTGTACCACCGACACTGCAATGCGACGAATTTGATGCCGATGACGAACACGAGGAGTGTCCGCTGCTGCCCCCCCCAAGGCCGTCGCCTCTCGGCGACACAGTCGAGTCGTACAAGACCAAGATGGAATCGTCTACTACAAGTGACTTCGTGGACCGGCACATAGAACTTGTCAACAGCATTCGAACTATGTCTATCGCGTCGACCGACTTCTCGCCATCTACCGGAGATGTTCTCATGGACACCGCCTGTCAATGTGGAGACGCCATGGAATTCAAGTGCATGAACTCATGCAAAACAACCATCAACAAGATTACCCCGACCAACAAGACTGTTCGCTTCAGCCCGCTACATACGTCGACCCATGTGACTCCAGCGCCCGCGAGTTCTTCCCCGGCAACGCACCAATACGAACATTTTGCGGTTGTCTTCGGACATGTCGCCGATGTTTCATCCATGACAACACCCAACGTATGTGATACAATCTACGAAATCTGTGTCGTCGACACCAGGCGTCAGCTACTTTGTGCTGCCCCCCAGCAAGGTCATACCAAGAGCGGTGTCACTGGCCAGCATAACTACATCAACCCATACCGCGCTTGCGTCGTTCCGTCTACCGTCGCCGTCGCAGTCGCCGTCCCCGTCGCAGTCGCCGTCCCTGTGCAGAGTGCATTGTCGGCCGTGGTCGATACGACGCGTGGGCCCGTTCTCACCACACACATTTCGTCTGGTATTGTCGCGCCAGTACCATTGGTACCACCGCTTTACACGTCATGCTTCGTGTGTTGTACACTTCTAGACGAAGTGGACACTTCACCCACGTCCAACACATCTACGTCCTCGCACAGCGTCAAGCCGAACCGTCTTCGTCATACGAACCAGTATCTCCAGGCACATCGCAACTGGGCACACAAGGAATGCACTGTTCCGTGTGAACGTATGCTCCCTGGTATCTGCGTTGGACCGTGTCCGCGCCTCAACACGTTCGTGAGTACCATGTTCGACGGTTCACCTCGCTTCGAAAACGTGTGTCCTCACTGTACGTTCCCGGAAAAATACCCCGAGGTCGCTGCATTTGGCATTGCCTCTCCGTCGCCTGTATTATCATCGCCAGTTAACACCGCCTTCTCTTCTTCGTCCTTCGCACCGCCTCCGATGACACCCGCTTGCTTGTCGTTACATGACATGCCGCCGCCCCGGATGAAGACCACTTCGACACCTCCTGCCTACAAGACAATCCTCAAGCGACCTTTGTCCCAAGCAAACTGGCTCGCTGACGCTGGTAGTCTCCGCAAGGTTGCTGCTCGCAACCTTGCCGAAAGTAAACTCACTGCAAAGCAACTCTCTGAACGTAGCAATACGTTCACATTCCCAGTAGACAAGTCTGGTGTTTACACCGACAAGGTGCGAGGTACTTGGTACTGTCTCGACGTCAATGGGGAAAACCCCACACCTGTCTGTGGCATGGCGTTCTGGGACCCGTACTTCAAGGGTCTGCGGGTGTGGGACACAATCGGGGATCGTACCAGTGCAATTGCGAGTCATAAGCACCTCCTAGAGATGGGTCGGATGTAGGTAGCATATAGAAACAGACGTGTGTGATGTGGTTGTGATTGTCCCCGAATGAAATCGCAATTTGCAACGGCTTTTGGTGGGTTGTCTGTAAGACATCTGGTGGTCTATTGGACGTCTGGCGGGTCTATTGGACATCTTATCCACGACCCAGCTGTTTGTATGCATCGAATCGATATAAGAGACAATCCCACGTATTTACATACATTACTCGAGATGGACAGCGTCTGTTTCCGGGTTGTCAATACGAAAGACTCAAAGATTGGTAGGACTAGAAGGACGTGTGTGGTTGCATTGAACAACCATTGGTTCGCGGCGCTTGTTATATTTTGGGGTTGTACTCTATCAACACTATCGGGGGTAAGGGGTGGCGTTGCTTGTGTTATATGCCCGGTCGATATGTACTGTTCGAACCGGGTAAAAAGACACTGTCCATCCAATTCACACTCCAGTGCGGGAAGCGGTCGTATTACTGATTGTATGTGCATAAAAGGGTATTCCGGTGAGAACGGAGGAAATTGTACATCTACAACCCCCGTAGAGACTACTACTACAACCAGTACGAGTTCTGCGGTATCAGATACCACTCCCCCAAAAGAGGATGTGTCTGCGGATACTACCACCCCACCAGAGGTGGGGTCTGTAGATAATACGACCAGCGAGGCAAGCACTGTGGCTACTACCAATACCACGAATCCGAATGATATGACCCCTGTAACTACTACCACTACCACGAATCCGAAGGATATGACCCCTGTAACTACTACCACTACCACGAATC